ATTAAACTACAAAAAATCTTTTATGATTATTTTAATGAATAAAGAACAATTTTTTATTATTAAAAAATAAAAAAAAACTATTAGTAATTTAGTAACTAACATTTTTGTATAATTACATATCTATATTTATATCACGTGATTTTTTGAAAAAAAAAGTATTAAAATAAAATATATAAAAAATTTTTTTTATCAAACTTTTTGTTATATAATATAACAAAAAATTTTCTTAGCTTATAATACTATAAAATAAAAAACTAAGTTAATATTAAAGTTTTTCAATAAAAAAAAGCATAATTTTTAGTAAAAATGCAAAAAAAAAAAATATTAATTTATAACACTTACTTTGTAAAAATATAATAAAAATATTACTCAATATCATATAGAATATTTATAAGCTTTTATAACTGCCTCTATTCTACGATTTATGTTTTTTACAAGCTTTTGGTAGACCTTATATAAAATTTCTGACTAATATTCTTGAAGAAGTGCCTTCAATTCTCTTAAATTTTTAGAATTATTTTGCTTTGCTCTTATATGTCTTTCAAGCTCATCCTATTGATATTCAATAGGATTGAGGTCAGAACTCCTGTTCTGGTTATGATAACAGATTTATTTTCATTTTTTCACAAAAATCTCTTGTCTTGATACTGGTATGGATTGATGCATTATCCTGTTGAAACAAATAATCACCATTTTCTTCTTCAAAGCTTTTCAAAAAGTGATCATATGATAGCTAAGTATTTCTTCTATATATCTTTGACTATTAATTTGACTATCAATTTTTACTAAAAGACTTAACCCAAATCATGAAAAATATTCTTACATTATGACTCCACCTCCACCATGCTTCATAGTTGAAACAAAGCAATTAATGTCATATTTTTTTTTTGAAGATGCCAAACTCTAATTTTTCTATTATTCTGAAATATAGTAAATCAAAACTTATCACTTTATACTATTTTTTTCCAATTGTCTATAGTTCATGAACGTCTTTTTTAAGCCTAATTTAAGTGTATTTTTTGATTATGTTTACTAACACAAGGCTTTCTTAGGACTATACAACTGTTATATTCTATTTTTTTATACAATGTTTATTGTATAATGCATCTACTTATATTCTTTTCAGTAGATTCAATAAAATTTTTCTTATTTTTCTTCAGGTTTACGTCAATTTTTATTAATAATAGCCTTGAGGTGCTGTTTGTCTTATTCAGTTAATTTTTTAGGCTGACCACTTCTAGAAGTAATAGTAACAGCACTAGTTTCATGATATTTGACTATTATATTATGAATGATAGTTTTGCTATAACTAGTTTTTTTTGAAATAGTTCTTTTAGAGTCACTAGCTTTATAAAAGCCAATAACTTTGTCACATTCAAAATCTGCTAGTTCCGCTTTTTTAACTTTTTTTTTAAATAAAAAAAAATGAAGCTAAAATTTTGTGTAATAATCATTACTAATTAATAAATATTATAAATTGTTTTTATTTATGTTATATAAATATGTAATTTTTGCTGTTTAAGATTATTTGTGCAGATCTCAGGGGGTGATCCTAAACTTTTGACACAGAAGTATATATCAATCAGATATAAATCAGATGTCAATCAACTATAAATAAGATAGATCAAATTTTAGTCAATTTTTGACATAAGCTAATTAGCTATAAATAAGATAGGTTAAATTTTGGTTGATTCTTGACTGATTTCTAGTGTATGCCAATTGGTTAGACAAATTTTTTGATAATTTGCCAAATTTAGAATGATTTTAGCCAATTTTTCACATGTCTAATTTTTTTAATTTTGACCAGTGGTAGTTTATTTATATTAAAATTTAGTTAAATTTAAACTTTTTTTTTTAGTTTTTAAGTAGAAAAAAAAAGATAATCTGAATTAAAGCAGTTTAAGTTTTTTTATTTAAGTTTAAATATTTTAAATTTATTTTAAATTAAATTTTAATATTTATTTTACTAGAAAATTTAATATTTCTCATTCTTTCAATCCTTCTTTTCTATAAAATTTGTCTTAGCACCTTTACTATTTAATACTAAAATACTATTATAAACTAAAAATTCCTCTATATAATTCTTTTTCTTTTAAACCTAATTATTACTCTAACTATTAATATTCTTTTGTTAAACAAAATTTTAATTATTAATCTTTTTAACTATTATTATTTTTTTTCATTTTACATTCAGTTTTTTATAGTTTTTTTTTTGATTTTTACTAAAAAAAATTTTTTTTCTTAAATGAAATTTGCTACCTTTACATAGTATTTAAAATCAATAGTTATAAACTAATATATATTTAGTCAAGAATAAGTATATTTTAATATTTATAAATATATTCTATTTATAGCTTTATTTTTATATAATCATTATTATAATAAATAATAGAACTAATCAATATATAAAACAAAAATTTTGTTATTAAATTTCTATTTTATTAGTTTCAAAAACTAATATTTTTCAAATTCTTTTTAAATAAATAATAATATAAATTTTATTATTTAGATTCTTCTAAATAAGATATCAATATTTATTATTAGTTTAACTATATTGAATTATATAATAATAACTGATATTTATCATAGTTCTTAATCTTAAAATTAAATTGAATCAGTTCAGTTATACAACCAATTTAAAATTAGTTTATCTATAATCATTAATATTTTTGGTAAAACTTTATTGTTTTCTTATATATTACTTAGTGATAAATTAATATAAATTGTGATTTGATTAAAATTTTAATATTATCAGATATTCTATTAGTAAAGTAAATAAATCATATTTAAATACTTTAAAGATATATAACTTTAATTAAATATTATATTTAATAATAATAATATATTTTTTAATAATAAATAAATTTAAGTGATACTATTATAAAATCAAATTAATAAAAAGAAAAGTATTTGCTTATAATTTATAATTAAAAAAGTAGTAACTAATAATAACATAATTTTTCTGAAGAACAATCAATACATTTTTATATATAAAAAAAGAAATTTAATTTTCTTTCTTAAGAATGTGATAATCTCTTCATTACATGAAAATTAACATGAAATTTTTATAGCATTATTAAAAAAATAAAGTATTATATATAATAGTTATTTATTGTGAAATTAGAAATATCATTAGAAATTATAGCAGAGTCTGTAAGATTAGTGATTAAGTGATAAATAACCAATATATTTTATGATTGACTAATATTTATGATAAAATAATTATATAATAATTTATTACAATAAATTAAACTTTATTAGTAATCAACTTTTTATAAATTTTCTTTTTTTCTCTAAAATTAATTAAAAATATACAATTTAATACTGCCTGTAAGTTATTAAATAATTTACATTTATAGCCTAATATATAATGAAAATCTTGAAATTGAGAAAGCAATTTCATAATATCAAAAAAAATCATGTGTTCAAAATACAAAAAAAAGCAACAAAAAATTTGGTTTAAATACTTTGAAAAGTTATGATTGATTCTTATTTAAGAGTAATATAAAATTTAATTGTGTCTTATTTTTGGATATATTTATACTAGAAAATCAAGTAGCAGGTTATATTGCCACTATAAATAATAAGACAGCTGTTGATAAAATTAATTCATATTTGATGGAATTTTCAATTATACTTGGGATTAATTTATGTGATCATCATCAGTTTCCTGTTTTAATAAGAGTTCTTGATGGTAAAATAAAAATGTTTCAAGAAGGATTTGGAGAAGTAAAAGGGTCTGCAGTTTTAATTCAACAAATATTGCAAATATTTTATCAAATCCAGCAACTTCAATATCAACTCCAGATACTCTTATTAAAAAAGTATTTTTTCACAATGCACTTATTTTTAGCTTGTTGGGATGGTGAACACTATCAATTAAAAATTATTCAATTTAATTTTAGAGATGATGGGAAAATTGATTTTCAAAGATTTCGTGCAATAAATAATCAACAAGGGGTAATGGGCGGTATAGCACAAAAGATTCCAATTCCAGCTGATTTACCTAATTCTAGAGGACCATGTTATGATTATCAATTGTATTTTGAAAAAAAGGCTATTAGATTTATAACCAGATTTTTATTTACAGACAAATCCAAAATGATAAGTTTACTATATAATTATATATTAATTTCTTAAAGAATTTACAAAAATTTCTAATTAATAGGGAAAGAAATTGGAAACTGGTATCGTAAACAACACATTGGTCGAAATAATTTATGAAAGATCTCATAAAACAGGTATTGAGGTTGATGGCTTACTGACTAACCATTCTGGGCGAAAGACATTAATGCAAAATGTAAATGTAGAAGAGCAAGTTATTATGAACATCACAGGGCATCGAAGTGTTGATGCAGTACGAAAATATAAAGTACCAAATGAACGACAAAAAATGGATACATTGCGACATATTATTTCCATTTATAATATACAAGATTATCAAGAAACTCAAATTAAAAACAAACACCGATAATAGATCTATTGAACAAATTCAAGATTATAATATACAACCATTACAAAATTCTCAAATTACGAATCTTGAATCACAAGATTTATCAACAACTTTCTAATAACTACAATAAAGAAAAGGCGCCAGTGTTTAGTGAATGTCAATACAAAATGTTAACTTTTATTTTAATTAGAATATATGTATTTATAGTAACAAATACTTTTTAATATTTATTAAATCCTTTTAATGAAATCGTGCAATATTAAATAAATTTATTATTAAGTAACTACAAGTACGATTTTCAAATGATATATCCAAGGTATTACGAAATGTTGATATTTTCTCGGAAAATTCAAGTCCGATAGTAGCTTCCAGTAAAATATCGATGTGGCGAACGATTAGTAAACGGGGAATATATCGGTCTATTACCAACCCCCTTCTTTGTAATGATAAACTTTTATACTTAGTATATAAAAAACAATACATGCCACAATACCATTGTTGCATTTAGCAATGAAAATGTAGATCCGAGGGCATTGGCATGAAATTTTTAAAATTTATATTGATCACAATTCGTTTAAAATTTTTGGAACGTAAAAATTTATTATGATAAAATAAAAGAAAAAAAAAAAACATAAAGGAAACAATAAAATAAAAAAAGAAAAACTCATTACGATAATTATGATAAAAAATAATAAAGAAAACAAACGAGTAAATTCAAAAATACGATTAAATGAAATATAAAAAATTTGTCAAAGTATTGACAATTATATTTTAGCTTAGACATAAGGAATAATACTTAAGTATTTACTTAAAGGTGTAGTAAAATAAAAAAATTAAATCATAGCTTACAAAAATCTGTATGGTAATTAGTTTTGAAAAAGAATAAATCGAAGCATTTTACCAAATGTTTCTATGGTAAAGACTAAAAAGTAAATTGATTTGATTTAACAATATAGTTGAGTTGAGTCAAAACTTGATTTGTTACTTAAAAAAAAACGAGGAAAATGCATAGTAAAATATAAGAGATGTAACGGAAAGTAAAATTAAAATAAAAAATTGTCAAAACTCTTATATTAATAAAAAAAAAAAGTAATTTTCTCTAATGTTATAAATTTTATAGAGATTAACAAAAAAAAAAAAAAAAATATCATCATGACCTTTGCCTCAGTTTGTCATATACCCATTCTTTGAGAGTGATCCTTCGATGGTCCGAAAGAATATGATAAATACTCGCACCATATTGCAATGATATTTCCATCGATAATTTATTTACATTCAAATTGTGATTAGGAAATATTATCTGCGGAAGCGGTCGAGCAGATATAATTCCCGATAGTCGCAATTGATTCGTTGTTTCGAATTCATTAATACTTGCTGGGAGGTTCAAATCAAATTGCACTCCCTTGTTAAAGACTTGATAAATATGCCCAAGGAAGGTATGAGCAATGAATTCGCCAACAACATAATTACGATTTGGCTCAAGTTTCGGGTTAATTATGGACTCGCTGATTAGAAGCGCAAGATCTTCTTTTACCGTTACATTCAAAAAAATGAATTGATTTGGTGAATTGAAAGACGAAGTTACTGTTGATATATCGAAATGAATGGATTCTATATCAAATATTCCAACTTGGAATATTACCCAATTCATTTTATCGGTTGATTCCGAATAATGATAATCAATCAATAGTTGATGCAATCTGGTCCTAGGACATGAGCTATTTCGTACAAAATTTTCCCTGAATATTTTAAACAATATAATAACACAAAAAAAAATTAATTACTGAAATGTTTCATAAATAACGAAGCAGAAAATACCTACAATTCCATTCCCGAATCCCATGTAACAAAAAAGGAAACTTGCTGAATTATACAAGCTTGGAATAATTTGCATTGAGATTCATAATCATGGTATAACATGCTTATAACGATAACTGCGTCTAAACAAATGAAAACGTTGTTAAACGGTTCGTTATTTACCAGAAATGAATAGGGAATGTAATCACTTACTGGTCGATAATATTTCTGTAAAGTCCTCAATCGTTGACCATTTTCCAGATACCATCTGCACTCCCAAGTTTGTTTTTTGAAACTGATAACGAAAAAATGGAAACAATTAGCGATTTTTATCTTTTTTTTTAAACAAAACAGTTTTAAATTGCTTACTTCTTTGTTAGATAATGGAACGAGAAGGCAAATGTTACTTGCCCGTTTTCTCTTTAAAGAGTAAACTATGAAAGATGTCATTACAACATCATGATTGCATATAATGTATATTGGGTGATCTATGTTCATCATGAAAATTTGCTAAATATGTTGTATAAAAAAAATTTATTTATTTTTTTTTTTTTTTTTTTTTTTTACTACTTTTTATTTTTTTTTTATATTTTTATATTTTTTTTTCGTTTGTTTATTGAAAGATCGATTAAAAGAAAGTTAAACAAAGAAAATAAAACGCCGTAAGTGATTGAAATGCTTGCAAACAAGTTTATATATAGGTACAATTTTCAATATATACATATATACACAAGGTAATCCAAAATGAAAAGCTTTATTATATATTATTTTGAAATTAATATCTTAAGCGCATTGATTTCATAATACGCTGACCAATGCAACTAAATTTACAAATCATAACGTCACAATCGATGGGAACGTTTACATGGTCTGAGAATGGATTCTAAAAACAATGATCGCTTTTTCTTACATAACGTGTATTCAAAATGTGAACCGAGTAGAAATAAATAAATAAATAAAACAAAATAAATCCAATTTAAGACGAGTAACTGTTTTTCATTTTAAAATATTTTTTTTAAAAAAAAAAAACTCCCTCCATTTTTATATACTATAATTACATGATCACATATGATAATAATACTTTGGTCCAATTTGCAATAGCAAAAAAGTTTAATTGTCGTAATTATACCATAACTTTTTCCCCGATATGCAATGCATTTATTTGATTGGTGGATTTTGGGTACCGTACCCGTAAAATTACACTATTTGATTACTTCATTTGATCTGTTAATTTCTCACGATTTATCGATGCTGGTTTTTTTACGTTATATAATGTAGGTAGTAAAATTTAATTTTCTTTTTTAATTTGCCTAAATAAATATGTTTGAAACGCGTTTTGTCGTACCCGCGCTAATCACATGACTGCTTCAACATACGCCGTAATTTCTTGTTCGGTACTTGAAAATTTTTAAGGAATCAATAATTTATCACTTTTCTTGTCGAAAGGATTACGTAGTATTTATTAAAGATGATATGATGAAATTTCATATAAAGAAACTTGACCCTTTTTACTTTATAAAGGCAGAATGTTTCATCTCACATTTTGTTACAATGGGTTCAGTCAAGCTATTTTTTTTTTTAAATCTGTTCTTTTATTTAACAAATCATGTGATATAACAATCGGATTGTTTTTGACGATAAAAAATTCGCGTTTAGGAATAAAAGGAGTATGCAACGAAATACGACTTTTTTGTTTTCTTTATCTTTTTCCTTTGGACTTGAAATGAAACTGGTTAGCTGATATACATATATGACGCGTAATAAATCATGTGCGGTGGCGTCTATTATAATCAAGGGCGAACCGAATGTTGATTTAGCCAGCAATTTTTCCATTTTATTTGAGACAAAAAAAATAATTACATCAAAAATTAGTATATAATTAATATATTGCAAGTTTATAGCATATACTGTCAATTAAATTCCTAAGTTCCGTTCCATGAAGGTGTTTAAATTTATAGGCATACAAGAATATGGGAGGGCGTCAGTAAAAAAGGGGGAAATCTGAAATTTCAAACTAATTTTGAGCACATGACTGTGATCGGTCAAGTGGACCAATAGAAAAAAATCTTATCAAAATTTAGATTTCTCCCTTTTCTATTGACTGTCGCCACATATGCTTTGAATTTAAATAGAGAGAGATATATATGCACTCTCGACCGTTCAAAGGATTTGAATGATTTTTTTTTTAGATGTAATTTTAAAAGAAAGCTTAACAAGTACATTGCTTAAAGATTTCGCGCAGTTAACATACAAGGTGATCGTTATCTTATACAGTGGGAACGACTAAATTCATCCCAAAGGATTGAAAGGATCTCTTTATATTCTCTTTATGTATGGGCTAACCGCACTGAAAAAAAAATTTCTTTGCAATTGGCATTTAATGTATGCATAGAATTCCATGACGTAATAAGATATGTATTACTTAAACAAAATAATGATATACATTTTCAAAAAAGCTATAAATTAATTAATAAAATTTTACATTAATTATGTTATGTTAAACATGCCATTCTTTCCAAGCATGCTTTAATTCTTGAACAGCTAGAACTACACCTCCAGTCACCATCCCATTGAGTTTCCTTGCCATCCTTGTATAAATCCATCCAATAATTGGTAAAGATTCCACCATATCCTTTAAACTCCAAATATCTTCATACCTCACGATCTTTTGTTGTTCATTAAATTCAAACTTTGTGATTACACGTTGAGTAATATCATTCGAGCGTAAACAGGGGAGCGGAAGACGATATTTAATCAAAGAGTCAATACAAACTAAATGATGATTTTCTTCTGTCTTTTTGCTAGTAACTGAATGTATTTCCGGTGTTATGGAATGAAAGAATGTTGAAAGCAGGAGGAATTGATTGATAATTTTGTCTCGTGATTCAACTAGTATCATTGGATTTTCAAAAACTAAAAAAAAAATATAGGTAAAAATTAACCAAAAAAATTTTTGATATCAGAGTGATTTATT